GGATAAGATTTAGAAGAAGGACTGCATAATAATAAAACAGCCTGATCAACATTCCCTACATAAGGATGAAGAGGGGGGAGATGAAAACGACAGTTTGAGTGTGAAGGTGTCATGTCGCTCAAAGGAGCACACCACACTATGTCTAAATAAACAAACTCACGTTTGGTTAAAGGATCGGCTTGACTTGTCACTTTCACGAGTTGTTGTATGGTGCTAAGAATGACGATACTCATTGACGAAGCCGACTACGATGCCGACGAAACGTTTGGGAATGTACCAATTCCACGGTTCTACTTTGGAAACGATCATGCAGCCAATGGACTCCGGACTAGGTGTGTTCCTCTAAGTCTTCCTACCAATATGACCAAGTTGCGAAAACAAGGTCAAACAACCTCTAAAGATTGTGTATGTTTGTGAGTTTATGCGCTTAGCATGTTTTCACCGGAATCGAAGGAGATTGCCTTAGAAACAGCCGCAATAAAAGTGTTCCAGTAAAGCCAGTCGACAATTGGTCAGGAGGAATCTTGCTTCGTCTTCTGATGAGATCGTGCTTCGAATTTCTTCATCACTCGAGTTTGAAGTATGAGCATCAATTATGAAGTTAAAGAGTCCTAAAAAACCCTACCTTTCTTCGCCTATACAACCATTTCGTCATAACCTTAAATGATACAGAGTGAACGCATTTGTCATATAAGAACTCTTGGTATTCTCGGAGTCCTATTTACAAACAAAGATATCGTTCAATTATTGCTTTCATTTTTAGTATAAAGCTTATATAATTTCTATTTTGTCTCCCCTGCAGACTTATGCGCCTTATTAGGAAAATTTTATTTCTGGTTTCCTAATATTCGTGTCTTAGTGTTAATTTGATAATTTTACGAGAATGAGTCCCAGCTCTGATGATGTCCAACATATGATGGACGAAAGGTCAGCCCGTTTTCACCCGAAAAGACGGAGGATGTCTCGTGGACTGCATCAATCTCAACATCATATAGAAGCCAAACAGCTGAAGGGCAACGGAAGTGAGCCGTTCTCTTCTGGTAAGATCGACCTTCCAATCTCTTCTTCATACACTTTATACGAAATGAAAGTCCCAAAAATAATGTTATTTCAGAAGATTAATCGAAACCCAGTTACCCTTCATATCTACAATTGTTGCTAGTTAATTGTCTATCCTGTTATTTTATTGATTTCCTCTTTTGTCGTATTTAAAGATATATTTTCCTTCGGTGTGAAAGATTACATTCTACGGAGTGGTTAGATGCAGTAGATTGTTTTGATTAATTAAGAGTTTTTGTTATTCTAGCTTTAATGTTTACTACTTTCATTCCGTTAGCTATGTTTTCTGCTTTCGTTTCTGTTTGTTCAACTGACAATATAATGAAGAAAGATGTGATTGGTGTTTATTGCGATTATTTTTTTAACTTCCTGATTAAGCTTTACTCGTTTTGTGTTCTGTGTTCATTTGTTTATCGTGTTTTATCCCTTGGTTATTTGCTGCTCTGAGGGAATAACGCGCATGGGATTTATTCTGTTGTGTATTACTTTTTATTCTGTTCATGGCTCTTAAACGAGTACGATTTTTAGCTTTGGTCGTCGTCGACAGACGTCGTCATGGCTAGCAAGCATACTTTACAAAATAGCCCTCCGATAGACTAAACCAAGATAATGCTGTATTAGTGGGCTGGTTTGTGACGATTTTCGTTCCGCTAAAAAAGATAAAAGCTTAGCACAGGCTCATCGGAGTCGCGGAAGGGTGAGACGATTTCTGCTTCGCCCAATCCACACAATCCGTTGGCATTCTCTGAAACACCTCAGGTGACCTTGACTCACCAACTTCCTGGTTTTGAAGTTGCGATCCTTTCAAAACATGCTCTCATCAAAAGGAAGAACTAGTTGGCTTACCTTTAAACCCCTTCTGATATGCAATGCAATATAATACAGCACATCAACAAGCCTGATTAAATAAATATAAATATTTAAATAACTCCCATCATTTCACTCACTTACATTTCATTCTTCACATTAGCCACCCTCTAGCACGTATCCATTTTTGCCTGTAGCCGCAGTCCTACAGTCAATTCTCGTTCAAGAGTGTTTTTTAAAATCTCGTGACATAATCATCTCATTCGATGCTATTGGCTAAAACAAAGCCGAATAAAATGAAATACAACAATCTTCTTCACTCAAAATCAGTCCTCCTTTGGCTTCCGATGAGAGTAATTCACTAATTTCTTCCAACCCACTGTTCCTGTCCAACTGGAAATTCGAAACAAATTACTTTACTTTAAGATTTTTTGAAACGCAATTTTTCTTCGTATGAAAAATTATGTGGTGGTCTCATCAACGGCCAGTTCATGAGCCACTAAGCAACCGGACAAATAGAACCCAGAGCAGTGTTTGCAGCCAACGTGTTCGAATGAAGCTGTTCTTGGTGATGCTGATGAATGACATGATGATAATGCTAAAAGGGCACATGAAGGGGTCAAGAGCAAACATCTGCATGTGAGCATACTGGACTTCTCGCTTCTTCAGGACATACAGACACGAGAGAAAGCCCACTCTTTGGCGGAAAAAAGCGGTTATTAAATTGATTCGGCCCAGCGTAGCACCCACCTGCGCCGACTAGCAGCATCCAGCAACAAAACACACAACTGCCAATCAGCCGGCCTCGAGCGAACAAGCGTTGTGATGCTGGTGGCGGCAGCTAGGCCAGCTCAATGTCAGCTGTAATTTACGCCAATTTCGGCAAAGTCAAGCTTATCATATTGTTGGCACAGCAACCGCATTTGTCTCTCGAATATGATGACAGACATGAAATGAAGAAAGGAGGCTTTTTGAAGAAACCCTCATTAATTTCATTTGACTTGACATTTTATTCAGAATGAAAGTGTTTGGATGCAAACGATG